GAATTAGATGCATATACAACAGTTCAGTTCAGTGTTCTTTAGATTCCATGGGAAATGAGCACAGAAGGCCCATCAGGATGTCCCTGTTAACACCATGACACCAGACCTCATGATATTAGGCTCATTACATTGCTAATTTATTTCTGGAGAACTAATGGTACATTTCAGAAGTGGTGCAGACACCATGATACCATGGGACCTATTTGTCAAGATACATACAAGCTGATAGTAATTCCATAATGGTGGGATGTGTTCATATGGCTGAGGCTGCTAGTCCATCAGAACATGTTACTGACTGGTAACTGCTGCATTGAACATTTGCACCCATTCATAGGTGCCATGTACCCCAACAAACAATAGGTTATTCCAGCAGGATAATGAAATAATGTCATCAGGCCCTAGTTGTCTAGAGTCATTCTTGAGATTTCTGACAAATGGTATGGCTTCAATGTTCACCCAATGTGAGCATTTATGGGATGTGGGGAAGCAGGCAAGATCCTGTACCTACAAATATCAAGGATGCTTATCAAACCTCAAACTACTGCCAGTCACGATGAACAGATGTCCTTGAGAGAATATTTGGCCTCAAACTCACACCTGACCTCAAGTGGAACTCTTACGTACAATCCTTCACTAAAATAGGCTCACTACCAATCCAGTAAGTACCTGACTACTCATGCTATCCTCTACCATTATAAGCAACAGATCAGGCTGAAAATGGAGTACTGTTGCCAAATTTGGGTGAGAGTTGCCCAATCATCAGTTTCCAGTCTTGAGAGAGTTCAAAAGTGTCTCTGAGTCTGTGTTGGAGAAGAATTCCAATTTCTCTCTCACAGTCAGGATGCAGCAAGCCTCTAACTGCTCTCTAATGAGCTGCTTCCACTGGTTCCCAGAGTCCATGCATCCCGCTCCCACCCTTACACTGTAGAAACTTTTAAATGTAGCCATCTCTTCTACTCCAATAGCTTCATGCCTCGCACCTCTTGCCTGTGGAACACCCTTCCCAATTACTGTTTCCCTGAGAGCTATAATCTCCATCTATTCAAATGTAATGTCAGTCGACATCTCCAGTTACTTTGATCTACCCACTATCCTTCTCCTCATTCTTTCTTCTATCACTCCTATCTGCTCTTGCTCCAAATCTTCTGCAACCCCCTGCATCCTAGTGGCTTCACACCTTGCTCGGGGCGTAATGCTTAAAAAAAAAAAAAAAAAAAATGGAAAGCGCTTGGCCGAACTACATTCTTCAGTTCTGCCAGGTCTGACCTTCATGGCTAGGACCTGCCATACCACTTACATAGTTGTAAACCACCCACACCCACTCTGTATTCCATTGGTGAGAAGTAAGTTCCACTCAGCTTCTTCCTGCAAATCACAGAGCAGTGGTTTGCAGGAAGAGGATGTTTCCCTGATCACTACAATCTCAACCTGTTCCAGTCTAGAGTCAAATGTTATCTTCCCGTCCTACCACTTAACATGACCCTCTACTTCAAGTGGCCTCCTGGATCTTGTACAGGGTGAATCTTACTGTAAAAAAGAAAAAGAAAACTGCAGGCAGCAATGGCTCAACTTCTCTCTAGATGTCTTCCAGCCACATGAAAAGTCAATGACACACAATGTGGTTTCCTTCAAAATACAAAGCACCAATTGTCTGACTTTGATATGTCAGTATAAGAAGCATAATCTTACTTTTGAAAACAAATATTTATGTCCACTTACAACTACTTATAGGTGCAGCTTAGAGATATAGACTGGTTATTGAGGGTTTGTATTTAACATCTTTAAAAAAATCCTCGTAATCAGATTAGCCATTCTTACTGCTTGTAAATTTTGTACCAATTATATAAGCAATATGATTTTAGTATTTGACATAAATGTTTCTTAGGAGCAAGCACCATGGTGTGGGGACTAAAAAATATATTCTAGTGAAATGGTTTTACAAAATCTATATCAGTTTATGTACATGAACTTGCTTGTCTTTTCTGCCAACCTGATGAATATTCATGAGCACTTGTATACCAATAATTTTGAAAAACCAATAACATTTTTGCTCTTGTATATAAATACATGTCACAAAATAAAATCCTTACATTTGCATCCCTCAGAGGACGAAACGTATTGGCTAAGATAAGTTTTCCTTTCGTCTTTTTTGATATTGTCCTTTTATAGATATACTCAATCTAAAATTTTTATTTATGTAATTATAACAAGCCAATATTATAGTAAATATTATTAGTAAATAATAAATATAATGTCATTAGTAGATACTTCATGATGAGGTAAGTATCCCATCAGTAAATATCACAAAATGTCATCAGTAAATATTACACTTCAAGATACCGCACAACTAGCTAAGTATTCCATCAGTAAATATTACACTTTAAATAACATGAGTGGATACCTCACAACTAGGTAAGTATCTCACCAGCAAATATCATTGACATATAACGTACAAATAAATATCATAACACTAAATCATATGTGTAAATATTACAGTTAAATATCAACACTAAATATGTCACTATTAAATATTGGCCAAAGTTTAAATTTTGTGCTCCCTCAAAAATGGTGTTTCACAATGTCAGTTTTTCTATTGACATCACTATTACTGTATACTACCAAGACTCCCAGAGCAAAGTTTATTTACAAGATTATAAAAATATTTGATTGAAGAACAATATGATATTTATTATTAACAATTTATATATTATTCATTTTTTTTTATAAAGAAATGAATTTGAAAAGAAATTTTTTTTATTTAAAAATTTATAAAAATTTACAGCATTATTAAGATATGTGAACCAAGTTATTTTTACGATAAAGTTCACTTTGTTTAAGGTTTGGGGGCCATTCATGGTCAGCCAGTTATGTGCCATACATGATACATGTTTAGGCTATCATGTATCGAAAGATACATGACTGACGAGGCAGATATTTTCCCCACAGTAGGTTCCCATTTCTTTCTGTGGTAGAACAGTTGCCATCCAAGGCTATAGAACCTGGTCTGTCCTGCTATTTACCCATATCTGGGGGAAGAAGAAGAGGATTCATACCTTTCCCAAGAGTATTACCATATAAGTGAATGCAATGGATTTGACTGGAATTTGAACTCAGCTCTCCGATTCCTCAATCCGAGCCGCTATCCATTACTCCACTGTAATCTAACCAACACCTTTATCCACTGTGCCATGTGTCCTCAAGGATAAAGGTGTTGGTTAGATCCAGTGACAGGACCCAAAGAGTGTGAGTTCAATACTTGGTTAATGCAGTGGAAAACTTGAAGAGGGGAATTAACAGGAGATAACGGATAACTAACATCCATTAGACATGGCACGTGGAACTAGAACAGTCTACTCCAGTGAGCGAAATAAAGGGTTCAATTCGACATTCCAACCACCTGAAGAAGGCCAGAGCATACATCAGCCGAAATGTTGTGACAAATATGGCAACAAAGATGAGGACAATATTCCGAATAATGTAAATAGTGTGAATAAAGATTTAAATTATAGTTGTCTCATATATTTGTATAATTTAGTATATTTTTACAAATTTATGAATAAAATTTTTTTTCCTATTTATTTCTTTATAAATTGGTGAATAATAAATATTGCATTGTAATAGTTTGCATATTTTTATAATGTTGTATATACAGAATTATTCATGCAAAAAACAATCTAATATATAAATAATACTTAATGTTTTTGTTGTAAATTTTCAAAGAATAAAGAAAATGCATAAGTTCACTTTCATATATTTGGGTTTTATTAAAATTCTAATTATTGCTGAGGGAGTGAACAGAATATACAGTAATAGTGATCTTAAGGAAAAAAGTAAGCTCCTTCCCAGGAACCACTGCCCTGTGGAACAGACTCCCAAGAGGATATTTCCCTAATCACTATAATCTTAACCTGTTCAAGTCTAAAGATAACCATTATCTTCGCCTCTTATCCATATAAACTACCCCTTAACATAACCATCTACTTTGAGTGGCTCACGGGCCTTGTACAGGATGAAACCTTACTGTAAAAAAAAAATAAAAATAAAAAAGCTCCTTTAGATTCACTGTTCTTTAACATTTTCTTCTTTCAATCCTAATTACACTTTGACCTCCTTTATTTGACCTCAGTCAAAAAATCATGAACTCTACAGCCCTACAGTACAGTTAATTGTAGACTCAATAATCTTTTCAAAGTTTATATAGTAGCAGATCCACATCTGTCATTTCAAAACTCTTTATCATCTGTGAGGAAATTGTCCCACATTCACTGTCATATAGAAGATCAAATATGACATCATAGTTCATTACTCTTTTTTTGTTGCAAATGACATTTACCTATCTCTTAATACTTTGCTTAGCTTATTAAAGGCATGAATAAATTGTTCAACATTCACTGTCATATAGAAGATTAGATATTATATTGCAGTTCAACACTTTTTTTTCTTTACTTCTAGCTAAATTCTCCTCTTTCTTAATACTTTGTTTAGCTTTTGGAATACATTGTTTAACCTCCCTTAGTAGTGTTTGCTATATAAGTCTAAGCACTAGCTGAGATTCCCTATGGAAGTGTCATGTCAGTGAAATTGATAATTGCCTTGTGTGAATTGGTGGATTGACTTGTTTTTTTTACAGCTTTTGCAGGTGATTTAATGACAAAAAATATTTTTATATTATTAGAATTTATTGTAGACAATAATGATATAATGATACAAATCCTACTAATTAACCCATAGCTGGGGGGAAGCGGTGTATTCATTACTTTCTCAAGGGTAATTGGATGTATGTGAATATAACAAACATGATTAGAATGGGAATTTGGCTCATTGATTTCCAATTTCAATCTGCTATCTATTATACCACCTACACATCCAAGCTTATAACACCTGGTATTCCCAAGCAGTCACCCATCCAGGTACTGACCAGGCTCAATGTTGCTTAACTTTGTTGATTGTATGAGAACCAGTGTTTCAATGTGATAATGCCATCATACATTACATCCAAGCTTACAGTACTAAGTCTTCCTAAGTGGTCACCCATCTAGGTACTGACCAAGTTCAATGTTGCTTAACTTTGGTGATTGCATGAGAACTAGTGTTTCAATGTGATAATGCCATCATCCATTACATCCAAGCTTACAGTACCTGGTATTCCCAAGCGGTCACCCGTTCAGGTACTGACCTGTATTGACAATGCTTAACTTCAGTGATCATACAGGAATCAGTGTTTCTATTGCTATTGCTGTAGGCCCCTTGTATGAAATTTATAATGCTCTTGTGCGAAATTTATAATGTCTTTGTGTGAAATTTATAATGCCCTTGTGTGAAATTAATAACATCCTTGTGTGAAAGTTATAATGCCCTTGTGCAATGCCACATTTAGGACAAATGAGGCCTTGTGCTAGTTAAGTTATAAGGTCCCTTTCTTGGGCCCTGAAGGAATTAAGCTCAGCATGCCTAGACAGGCATGGAAGGAAGATGCTGCTCCCTTGGCCAACAGGGCCCTTGTTGGGGCGCACCCACCTTCTAACTAGTAATGGACTGGTCCCTCTTATATAAGTCAGCTCTGGAGAGAGAGTGACAGAGCCTTAGAGAGAGAGTCAGCGTTAGCAGTCCAGATAATCTTACCCGGTACATACCGTTGGAATATAGACTTTGGATATTGTTTCGTACTAACCAACCTTCGTTCTACTAATCACTCTATTGTTAATTGCTTTTATGAATATACCAGTATTTTCCTCTACAACTGTGTTTGTCTTGATTCATACACCGACACGCGGGAACCTCACAACATCTCAACAGCCCTGTACTTAAGCACAATAGTAAATCCAGCACTGACCTTGTGTGAAATTTATAATGCCCTTGTGCAAAAGTTATAACGCCCTTGTGTGAAATTTATAATTTCCCCATGTGAAATTTATAATTTCCCCATGTGAAATTTATGATGCCCTTGTGTGAAATTTATAATGTCTTTGTGTGAAATTTATACCTTTGTGTGAGTCTGTGAGAGAAATCTTCTATTTATTTTCTTCCCCCTTTTATTTTGAAAGTAAATACTTAAGAAAAAAATTATTGCAATCGTTTATCTGTAATTACAGAATCTGAAAATAGATTTGAAAAATACGAGAAAAGGGAATAAATAGATAAAAACAGAATCTACATTGCATCAACAACCTTAAAAATATAGAGTGATAGCAAAATACAAATAGAAAAACTAAATAAAGTAACGCTTACTGAATAAACAATAATATTGGAAATGAAAAACCACAAAATCTCTTCAAGTATGAAATATGAAAAAGAAAAAAAAATAACAAATGATAAAAAAGTGTTCATGACATAAAAAAATTGCTACAATTATAAAAATATTAAAAAAAAACTCTTCTAAGTATTAACTGAAGGTATTAAGATAGTTTGAAAAACAGAGAGAGAGACGGGTAGAGAGAAAAATATGAGGTAATGAACTTATGGTTTAAAAAGCTGGAGAATTACCTCACTTTCACAATGATCTGTTTATTGTTAGTGATGTGGTGTCATATTCTTCAATGTAATTTTCTTTTTAGTAATTGCAGACCCATTCGAGCATGAATGAAATTGCTCAGAAACTTGGGGAAAGAAGTGGGAAAAAAAACAAAAACAAAGAAATGTTAAAGAATCCTCTTTGACAGACGTCTTCTTTTCTCTCAATTCTTTTATCCAAAGTAAAACACACACACACACACACACACACACATAGCAGATTAATAGGACTGGCCAAAAAGTTCTAAAAATAAAAGTAAAAAATATTCCTAAAATATAATCAAATAAAATAAAAAAAAATCTGGGTTAATCTTCTGAAGGAATTAATATCTCTTATGGAAACAAATTTCTTCTCTTTTTTTAAAATTTTTCTTCATCTTTCTTTTAATTCTTTTAACTTTTCTTTTTGGATTATTCGCCTTATCACCTTATCTTTTCTTTGTTTTTTCATTCAGTACTACATCTTCATTTTCATTCATTACTCACATCACTTTTTTTTTTATTTTTTTCATTCAGTACTCCATTTTCATTCATTACTCACATCATCTTTTTCTTTTATTTTTTTCATTCAGTACTCACATCTTCATTTTCATTCAGTACTCACATCATCTTTTTTTCTTTTTTTTTTCATTCAGTACTCCATTTTCATTCATTACTCACATCATCTTTTTTTTTATTTTTTTCATTCAGTACTCACATCTTCATTTTCATTCATTACTCACATCATCTTTTCTTTATTTTTTTTCATTCAGTTCCATTTTCATTCATTACTCACATCATCTTTTCTTTATTTTTTTTCATTCAGTACTCCATTTTCATTCATTTACACATCATCTTTTTTTCTTTATTTTTTTCATTCAGTACTCACATCTTCATTTTCATTCATTACTCACATCATCTTTTCTTTATTTTTTTCATTCAGTACTCACATCTTCATTTTCATTCATTACTCACATCATCTTTTCTTTATTTTTTTCATTCAGTACTCACATCTTCATTTTCATTCATTACTCACATCATCTTTTCTTTATTTTTTTCATTCAGTACTCACATCTTCATTTTCATTCAGTACTCACATCTTCATTTTCATTCATTACTCACATCATCTTTTCTTTATTTTTTTCATTCAGTACTCACATCTTCATTTTCATTCATTACTCACATCATCTTTTCTTTATTTTTTTCATTCAGTACTCACATCTTCATTTTCATTCATTACTCACATCATCTTTTCTTTATTTTTTTCATTCAGTACTCACATCATCTTTTCTTTATTTTTTTCATTCAGTACTCCATTTTCATTCATTACTCACATCATCTTTTCTTTATTTTTTTCATTCAGTACTCACATCTTCATTTTCATTCAGTACTCACATCATCTTTTCTTTATTTTTTTCATTCAGTACTCACATCTTCATTTTCATTCAGTACTCACATCATCTTTTCTTTATTTTTTTCATTCAGTACTCACATCTTCATTTTCATTCAGTACTCACATCATCTTTATTTTTTTCATTCAGTACTCACATCTTCATTTTCATTCATTACTCACATCATCTTTTCTTTATTTTTTTCATTCAGTACTCACATCTTCATTTTCATTCATTACTCACATCATCTTTTCTTTATTTTTTTCATTCAGTACTCCATTTTCATTCATTACTCACATCATTTTTCTTTATTTTTTCATTCAGTACTCCATTTTCATTCATTACTCACATCATCTTTTTTTTTATTTTTTCATTCAGTACTCCATTTTCATTCATTACTCACATCATCTTTTCTTTATTTTTTCATTCAGTACTCACATCTTCATTTTCATTCATTACTCACATCATCTTTTCTTTTTATTTTTTTTTTCATTCAGTACTCACATCTTCATTTTCATTCATTACTCACATCATCTTTTCTTTATTTTTTTCATTCAGTACTCACATCTTCATTTTCATTCAGTACTCACATCTTCATTTTCATTCATTACTCACATCATCTTTTTTTTTTATTTTTTTCATTCAGTACTCACATCTTCATTTTCATTCATTACTCACATCATCTTTTCTTTTATTTTTTCATTCAGTACTCACATCTTCATTTTCATTCATTACTCACATCATCTTTTCTTTTTTTTTTTCATTCAGTTTTTCACATCATCTTTTCTTTATTTTTTCATTCAGTACTCCATTTTCATTCATTACTCACATCATCTTTTCTTTATTTTTTCATTCAGTACTACATCTTCATTTTCATTCAGTACTCACATCATCTTTTCTTTATTTTTTCATTCAGTACATTTTCACATCTTCATTTTCATTCAGTACTCACATCATCTTTTTTTTATTTTTTTCATTCAGTACTCACATCTTCATTTTCATTCAGTACTCACATCATCTTTTATTTTTTCATTCAGTACTCACATCTTCATTTTCATTCATTACTCACATCATCTTTTCTTTATTTTTTTCATTCAGTACTCACATCTTCATTTTCATTCAGTACTCACATCATCTTTTCTTTATTTTTTTCATTCAGTACTCACATCTTCATTTTTATTCAGTACTCACATCTTCATTTTCATTCATTACTCACATCATCTTTTCTTTTTATTTTTTTCATTCAGTACTCCATTTTCATTCATTACTCACATCATCTTTTTTTTTTTTTTTTTTTCATTCAGTACTCCATTTTCATTCATTACTCACATCATTTTTTTTTTTTTTTTTTTCATTCAGTACTCCATTTTCATTCATTACTCACATCATCTTTTCTTTTATTTTTTTTTTCATTCAGTACTCACATCTTCATTTTCATTCATTACTCACATCATCTTTTCTTTATTTTTTCATTCAGTACTCACATCTTCATTTTCATTCATTACTCACATCATCTTTTTTTTTTATTTTTTCATTCAGTACTCACATCTTCATTTTCATTCATTACTCACATCATCTTTTCTTTATTTTTTTTCATTCAGTACTCACATCTTCATTTTCATTCATTACTCACATCATCTTTTCTTTTTTTTTTCATTCAGTACACATCTTCATTTTCATTCATTACTCACATCATCTTTTCTTTTTATTTTTTTTCATTCAGTACTCCATTTTCATTCATTACTCACATCATCTTTTCTTTTTTTTTTTTTTCATTCAGTACTCACATCTTCATTTTCATTCATTACTCACATCATCTTTTCTTTATTTTTTTCATTCAGTACTCCATTTTCATTCATTACTCACATCATCTTTTCTTTATTTTTTTCATTCAGTACTCCATTTTCATTCATTACTCACATCATCTTTTCTTTATTTTTTTCATTCAGTACTCCATTTTCATTCATTACTCATCATCATCTTTTCTTTATTTTTTCATTCAGTACTCCATTTTCATTCATTACTCACATCATCTTTTCTTTTTTTTTTTCATTCAGTACTCACATCTTCATTCATTACTCATCATCTTTTTTTTTATTTTTTTCATTCAGTACTCACATCTTCATTTTCATTCATTACTCACATCATCTTTTCTTTTTATTTTTTTCATTCAGTATCATTCATCTTCATTTTCATTCAGTACTCACATCATCTTTTCTTTATTTTTTCATTCAGTACTCACATCTTTTCATTTTCATTCAGTACTCACATCTTCATTTTCATTCATTACTCACATCATCTTTTCTTTTTATTTTTTCATTCAGTACTCCATTTTCATTCATTACTCACATCATCTTTTCTTTTTTTTTTTCATTCAGTACTCCATTTTCATTCATTACTCACATCATCTTTTCTTTATTTTTTCATTCAGTACTCCATTTTCATCCATTACTCACATCATCTTTTCTTTATTTTTTCATTCAGTACTCCATTTTCATTCATTACTCACATCATCTTTTCTTTATTTTTTTCATTCAGTACTCCATTTTCATTCATTACTCACATCATCTTTTCTTTATTTTTTTCATTCAGTACTCCATTTTCATTCATTACTCACATCATCTTTTCTTTATTTTTTTCATTCAGTACTCACATCTTCATTTTCATTCATTACTCACATCATCTTTTCTTTATTTTTTTCATTCAGTACTCACATCTTCATTTTCATTCATTACTCACATCATCTTTTCTTTTTATTTTTTCATTCAGTACTCATCTTCATTTTCATTCATTACTCACATCATCTTTTCTTTTTTTTTTTCATTCAGTACTCACATCTTCATTTTCATTCATTACTCACATCATCTTTTTCTTTATTTTTTTTCATTCAGTACTCCATTTTCATTCATTACTCACATCATCTTTTCTTTATTTTTTTCATTCAGTACTCACATCTTCATTTTCATTCATTACTCACATCATCTTTTCTTTATTTTTTTCATTCAGTACTCCATTTTCATTCATTACTCACATCATCTTTTCTTTATTTTTTTCATTCAGTACTCCATTTTCATTCATTACTCACATCATCTTTTTCTTTTATTTTTTTCATTCAGTACTCACATCTTCATTCATTACTCACATCATCTTTTTCTTTATTTTTTCATTCAGTACTCACATCTTCATTTTCATTCATTACTCACATCATCTTTTTTTTTTTTTTTTTCATTCAGTACTCATCTTCATTTTCATTCATTACTCACATCATCTTTTCTTTATTTTTTTTTTCATTCAGTACTACATCTTCATTTTCATTCAGTACTCACATCATCTTTTCTTTATTTTTTCATTCTGTACTCACATCTTCATTTTCATTCAGTACTCACATCATCTTTTCTTTATTTTTTTCATTCAGTACTCCATTTTCATTCATTACTCACATCATCTTTTCTTTATATTTTCATTCAGTACTCACATCTTCATTTTCATTCAGTACTCACATCATCTTTTCTTTATTTTTTCATTCAGTACTCACATCTTCATTTTCATTCGGTACATTTTCTTTTTCATTCATTACTCACATCATCTTTTTTTTTTTTTTCATTCAGTACTCACATCTTCATTTTCATTCATTACTCACATCATCTTTCTTTATTTTTTTCATTCAGTACTCACATCTTCATTTTCATTCATTACTCATCATCATCTTTTGATTTTATTTTTTCATTCAGTACTCACATCTTCATTTTCATTCAGTACTCACATCATCTTTTCTTTATTTTTTCTCATTCAGTACTCACATCTTCATTTTCATTCATTACTCTCATCATCTTTTCTTTATTTTTTTCATTCAGTACTCACCTCATCTTTTCTTTATTCTTTTCATTCAGTACTCACTTCTTTATTTTCATTCATTACTCACGTCTTCATGTTAAGTTTCTTCTTCATTTTATTTTTGTTTTTACCTCTTCTTGTTCATACTCATTCCATTTTATAACCTTCACTCTTCTTCATGTCATCTACTGTTTCTTCTTCTCTTTTTCCTTTTTATATTTTCCTACATTTCTTTCTCCTTCTTTATTTTTCATTACATTTCTCTTTCTCCCATTTGCCACTTCTTTTTATTTTCCTTCTTCAATCTGATCTTTTGCTTTTTAGATTGGCCTTTTTTCTGTTTTGCACTTCCCATTCAATTTTGGATTATGACCAAATCATTTTGAAACATCAGTTCTCATCTGATCACTAAAGTTAAGCAATGCCGCTCCTGGTCAATACCTAGATGGGTGACCACTTGGAAATACCAGGTGCTGCAATCTTGGATGTGCAGGTGGTGTAATGGATAAGAACTCAGAAGGAGAAATCCGAGTTCCAGTTTCAGTCGGGCTTGTTATATTAACGCACCTTTAGCAAACGTATGAAAACACTTATTCTCTCCCCAGCTATGGGTTAAGCAGTAAGACATATAACTATTACCTCCCAAAAATTGTTAAAAATATGCTTTTACTTTAAATAACCTTCTCTCTTTTATTCATTAAAATTATTTTGCATAACAATAGAAATATTTGTTTTGAATTTCTTGGATGAGAAATTTTTTTTTAATTTAATGTACCCCAAGCAAGACAGTAAAGCCACTAAGACACAAGGGTGTTACCATGTGTGAAAGAATTAGAAAACAGAAATATTACTAAGGAGCGAGAACAATAGAAGCGTAACCAGAAAGACAGTGCATAATGATTGACATTGCATTTAAATTTTTTAAGATGAAAGTTTAATGGAAAGCACAGAGCTGAAAAAGAATTCCACAAGTGAGAAGTGTGAGAAAAGAAACTTTTACCTCTAACCAATTCAACTATAAAATTGATGAGACTTTGTTGCCAATCTAGTACTGTGCTTAAATTCAGGAAGTCTAGGCACCATGATGAAGAACTCATCCAAAACAATTACCATGAAACTATTTATAGAAAAGGCAAAGGGAAGCAATTTTATGAAGGTGGGAAAGTGCGTGAAGCCAAGATGCCAGGTCAGGACCAATAACACTGCAGATTCTTCTTTAGATTTTATCAAGAATCTCTAAATATATATCAGGGGCACTGGACCATATGTGGCAGCAGTATTTTATGCATGGGAGATAGACATAGATATGTAAGATAGATTGTTAATAACTTTATTGGTAGATTTTCAAAAAACATGTTTTATTTTGAACAGTATAATAATAGAATGGTAAGACACAAGGGCATTACAATGTTAAAATTCTACATAGGCACCAGGTGTTTGTAATCATTTGGGTACATCCTTAAATATTTCCTGTACCTTAAGTACATTTTCTTCCAACTTCATGTTGAAGGAAAACCATTTCTCTGCATATTTACAACAGATCCCATATAATTTCTGATGTTTTCTGGCATCTACTGAAGCATATGCCATGATCTGTGCACTTGTACCATGGATTGCTACATGTTCCTACAGTGTCAGGTGTTGTGCCATTCAGGACTACACTTGTCACTCTGAAATAAAAACAGAAAGGCCTCATCATTTTATAACTGAATTGGCTAGATGTAACCATAAGTTCTTTGCTAACAGTTTATTTTCTCACATTTCTTGCCTGTGGAACTCTCTTCTGGCTTCATACTTCCCAGTCAACTTTGATCTTCAAAAATTTAAATCCAATGTCAATTGTTATCTACTGTCTTCTTGATTACTCATCTTTTATTGTTCTCTCTTCTTAATAATGTTTTTCTTTACATTAGTTGGACTATTGTCCTCATCTTTGTCGCCATATTTGTCACAACGTTTCAGCTGTTGTATGCTCCGGCCTTCTTCAGGTGGTTGGAATTTTGAACTGAACCCTTTATTTCGCTCACTGGGGTAGACTGTTCTAGTTCCACGTGCCATGTTTGATGGATGTCATTTATCAGTTATCTCCTGCTAATTTTCCCTCTGAAAGTTTTCCACTGCCTTAACCGGGTATTGAACTCACACTCTTTGGGTCTGTCACTGGATCTAACCAACGTCCTTGAGGACACATGGCACAGTGGATAAAGGCGTTGCTGGTAATATTTTTTTCAAAAATGTGTTGCTGGCTTTTTGTTTGTTACAAAAATTTATTGTTGGTAATGAAAATGTATTGCTGGTGTTTTTACTATATTTCTATCGTGTTTTGACCCCAATTTGGAGGTTAACTATTTGCCCATAGTTGAGACCCTAAAAAGTGCTACCACTCCAGGTCAGGGTTGACCTGGGTATCACAGCAATTAAGAGTTGGTTCTGCGATCCTCAAAACTTCCCAATCAGGGCCTTGCTGCTGGATGTAGTTTATCATCATACCAAAGGATGCACATAATGATATCCCTAGGTATGTTGTTGAAAGTGAATTATCTATTTTCTACTCATTGGTAATTTTTTATTAAACAGATTTTTTTTTTTATTAAACAGTGCATTTTACTTTTGTATTTGTTCTTGAAAAATCAATATTATACAAATTCTGGTGAGGTTCTATGTTGGCATCAAAAACTGAAAACTAGTTATTTTATAATAATGGAATGTCTAGTAGAGATACATTTACCTTACCATCCTCTATACCCACAATATACAAGGTGCGATGGATAAATTGTCCTCTAAATTATGCAGAAAAGAAAAATAACACTGACATCTCATTTTAATAGATATATTTACCAAAATTACACAAAAATATCTTGAAATACTAAATAGTAAATTTATTCAATAAAATAGCCATTGGCTTCAACCAAGGCCTCCAGACAACTTTGGAATCTCCTGTAACTCTTTTAGATGGTCACCTTGTTTAAGTTGGTGAATGTTGCCGTAATCATTGCCTTCAGTTCATCTTTGGTGTTACAAGGAGTTTTGTTATTCCTCACATAATAATCTAGTGGGTTGCAGTCTGGGGAGTTAGGTGGCCAGATATAAGTGGTGATGTGGTCGCAGAAATTGTCTGACAGGCCTGACTGGGTTCTCCTGCTTGTGTGGCATGGTGCAGAGTCCTGTTGCCAGACATAGGGTCATCCAGCAGTCACGTTCTTGAGCCAGGTCAGCACTACCTCCTCAAAACACTTGACGTAGGCCTCTGTGTTAAGTCTGAGGCCCTCACTAACAAATTTGGGAGCTATTAGAATGATCAGAGTAAGTTTTCCAAGCTACTGTACCTTCATAATCAACATTAGACTCATCCAAATCTTTCCAAATCCTCTGCCCTGTCCTCAGATTGACACCAAAACACTCTGAAATGTTTGTATTGGAGCTTCTGGCATGAATGCCAAGCAATAAAGCATGCTGAGTTCCAAATTACTGGTAGAATGAATTGCATCATGGTGTCTTTTTTTTATTGTGAAAACATTGACTTGCTTAATAAAATTTTGCATACTCTTAATGCAATAAATGGTTGAGGGACCCCTGTTTTACTTAATAACAATTGAAAACTGATCCCCCACTTTATGTGGCATAGAAACATATTACTATTTATCTTGAAAATTTTCCCACCATCAGTTGGTTAATACCAATTTTATTGTGAAAACATTGACTCGCATAAGAAAATCTTACATACTCGTAATGCAACAACTTAGTGCAGGATCATTCTTTTACTTATTAGAGAACCAATCTCCCACATTATGTCCAGTAGAAACCTATATCAATATTTTAAGTGCTGTTTTTCGTGCATGGAAAAACACTTTTTTTACCATAAAATTTAATGTCGAATTCTGTTTGTATCCTATGCAACAAAGTTATTTATAATATATATCTATACCATATATATATATATATATATATATATGTATGAAATATTTCTCAGAGTTAAACTGTAGAAAAAGACAATATGTATAAAGGTAAAAGACAATAAGAAAACTGTATTATTAGTCAACGCGTTTCATCCAATGTGGACTTTTTCAAGACAGGAACAAAACAGAAGGTAGCAGCAGAGAGTGTGAAGAAGGGACTAAGTATAAACTACAAGAAGATAGAATGCATGGTCATTAGTAAAAGGATGAGCCTGAAATGCGATTTGCATGTTGGGAACACCAGAATCAAGCAGACGCGGAAGTTTAAATATCTGGGAAGCATTTTGACAGAGGATGGTAAGTGCGGCACTGAGATTAGTAAACGTATTGGGATGGCCAAGGATGCATTCCAAAAGCTGGGAAGAGTATTACAAGACAGGAGGATTTCTTTGGTAATGAAGAAAAGAATACAGAGCTGTTATGTGACATTTGTCCTTTACGGCAGCAAATGTTGGATGATTTCCTCAAAGATGAAGAAAGGACTCGAGGCAATGGAGATGTGGTGCTACAGAAGGATGTTAAGGATATCATGTACTGAGTGCGTGAGCAACGATGTCTTAGAGATGTTGCAAATAAGGAGGAGGCTTATACTTAACATCAGGAAGAGGCAGCTGAAGTTCCTGGGACATATAATGAGGAAGGAGGGCCTGGAGAATCTGATACTCACAGGTAAAATAGAGGGAAAGAGAGACAAGGAGAAACAACGCATGACATACCCAACGGGCTTGAGCAAGTGGATGACAGAACATGGTCTGGGGGGAGATGGCAGAGGGAAGGAACTTGATAAGTGCTTCAAGGGATAGAGGGAGGTGGAGAGCCATGATCGCCTACGTCCCGAGAGGACATGGCACATAAAAAGAAAAGAAATGGATATATAGTCAGGTTATTGGTATAGCCAGGACCAGCAGTACATATGTTAGTTTTATATCTCATGTATATCTTAAAATTAGCTTCAAAATTAGATCTTCAAAAGTTGCATGACATGCAAGTATATATGGTATATGTATGTGTAAAAATATCAGATAGAGTATACCTGTGAAACAACAATATGAAAAAAAGACAAAAGGAAAACTTATCTTAGTCAATACATTTTGTCCTTAGAGAGACTTTATCAAGGTAAATATCAAGCCACATTTGCCTTGATAAAGTCCTTCAGTTTTTCTTTAATCTTTTTTCATATATAGATATGTATGTATGTGTGTGTGTGTGTGGGTGTTTGTAGGATATGTACAAGACATGAATATATATTTTTATTTATTTTTTTCTTTTAATCAATTCACTCCAAGCAAGGTGATAATGTCACTAAGATGCAAGAGGTTACTGGGAGTGAAACAGAATGAAAAGACATTACAAACAGGAAACAAGAGATAAACCCCTCCTCCTTTTCAAAAAGTCTGGGGAGGAGTGTAAACCAGATGATGGTCAAACCTATTTACTCCTATTGAGGAAAAATAAATAAATAGATAGTAAATAAAGTTTCAGCATCCATCTGGAGATTTTAAAAGTATAGAGTTGAAGTAGAGT